ATATATATATATATATGTGTGTGTGTGTGTGTATATATATACTTTGAATACGATGGTAAATTGCTGTGTGTCTTCTGTTGTTTTAATTTATACAATAATTTTGGTAATGTTATAATAACGTAACTTATCGAATATCTATGAATTATATTATCACTACATTATTTGATTAACTAATTAAATGTTAACAGAGGAGTTATATTATTGTTAGATTGTTTTACAAATGGAAATTATCACTGGAAATGAGACAGAGAAGTCTCAAAACTACAAAAAAAACTTAATTGTTTTTATTATAAGACATGATAAAATTTCGTCAAGCTAATGTTTGCAGGCGGAACTCATTTTACACCAGACTCGTAAAATTGTCACTTTTCTCAGGTGTAGAACTTATAATTCAGCTCAAAGTGTCCATAATTATCACACACATAACGAACTAAGACGATAGTGCCCAAATGTGTATGTTATAATGTATATAGAACCACTTTCAAAGCTGTTTGATAAGATTTACAAGAAAATGAATGTCAACCAGGGACGAGTCATTAGAGTCTTATGGAAGCGGGAGATGAACATTACAATAACATTTAACAGTAACTGCTTATACGCTAGTAGAAACTGACTTGTTTCACTATAATCGAAGTGATTGCGAGACGCCGCAAATTATCGTGGGAATTTTCACTCTCTTTTCCCACTTGTCTCTAACAAATTAAGGTCAGGTAATGAATTGAGATATAGTGTCCTTTCTAGTTTTATAGATTTATGTACCCTTTGGGGTTGAGGCCACATTAGATCCATCATTAGAAAGCTGGAAAACTGTCTCAAAATTACTCATCTGATATCTCCAAGTGTAAATATATATCAACAAATCTTATTATATAGCTTGAGCCCGTGTCACTTCAGATGACGGTATACTACCATTAAGATCTGAACAAAGAGTAATAATAGATAGTAAATACATACCTGAAGCACTTCTTAATTACGTGGAATAATAAAATCTGAGATAAAGTTACTCGTCTAGTGCCAGCACTTCTTAATTACGTGGAATAATAAAATCTGAGATAAAGTTACTCGTCTAGTGCCAGCACTTCTTAATTACACGGAATAATAAAATCTGAGATAAAGTTATTCGTCTAGTGCCAGCACTTCTTAGTTACACGGAATAATAAAATCTGAGATAAAGTTACTCGTCTAGTGCCAGCACTTCTTAATTACGTGGAATAATAAAATCTGAGATAAATTGATTAGTATAACATTTCATTTTCAATCAGCCTCCAGGCGTCATATTTATTTTACTTAAACATTTAAATATAGTTTCAAATATACATATTTATCCATTTCTAAAGTAAAATATTCCTAACACCTTTTCACATACACTCTCGCTATCGGCTACACTGTACCTGAAATGAGATGCTTACAACAGTACATAGAGAAATAGATTACACATTTCCTGGAAAACCGGATGACCTTCATGACGTCACTAAACTTCCTATATATATCACCTTTCCCAGTATGCCCCTGAAGAAGAAAGGTCCAGCTTTCGAAAGCTCTCGGGATTTGGGTTTTTATATATATATACTCACACACACGTGTATATAACCTTTATCAATTGAAAAAGGTTGTTCAAATTAAAGTTGTTTTAAATGAGCGTGATCCATTTTTTTTTTCCAAAGCTGGGATACACCGCAGACAATCCTTTGCCAGATTGCATACAATGACAATTGAGGCACCGATAACAAAGGTTAGTAATTAAATAGAGCAATATTTATAGTATTTTGGCACTTGTGTATAAAGTTAAAATCATAAATAATATTCAACGTTAAACTGGTACACAGTTAATAAAACACAAAAAAGATCATGTAGTATTAAATAAAGATGAAGGTTTGGCGAATATTTCTGCAAGAATGTGGACTGATCTCCTTTGAATGGTTTAGCATGAAAGTACGAAAAATAACATACAGGTCAATGAACTACTAACAAGCTATAAATACTTTGACAATTGTCTTGTAATTCACTCCTGAGGATGACGTTGTAACATCCAAACATGTAGAGTCGTTAACTTTTTGAAGGCCATATATAGGCCTAAATAAAATGTTTTTAACTGTGTATTAGTTATGACAGAGCAATATGTTGGTTGCTTATTATAATATGAAAACATAATATTCCTTGATAGGACACACACAGCACTTAACTCTGTAGAAGATAACAGAATTGTTTGTTTTTACTCAATAGTTTGGAGATATTATTGTATTTATCCTGCATGTTCTAAAAGTGTCTAAATAACAATGCAGCACCATTTATTTTCCATCAGAAGCCGAATTGGACAGCAACAAGTTCGTCTTTCGTAGGAATGTTGTTGTTGTTTTGTTTCGGCTTGCGTAAGGTATTTTCTTTATTTCACATTTTTTTTTATTTTCCTTTTACTTTAGGTCATCAACATGCTTATAGCAACACAAGAAAATAGTCCCAATTTCGTGGCCCAAGATTTAGACAAAATTTTGGAGATATTGCGAAGCACTGATCTGTATTCTCCCCAGTTGTTGGGACTAAACCAGCATCGGCGACCCACGGATGACAAGCTGACATCAGACTTGATCAGTGGCCTCGTCATGGTTTGTATGATTACTTTCTCAATTACTGTATTTACAGGTGGCAGATTTAGTACCTAAATATCATTCGTAGCATTTTCCCCATTTGTTAAAATGTATTGAAACAGAGAGAAAATGATCAACATTAACAAATTCCATAACATGGCCAACTAAGAATTACTATAATAACTATCAGCCCAGCGTGGCCTGGTGGTTAGGGCGCTCGACTCGCAATCTGTGGGTCTCGGAGTCAAATCCTTGTCACCAAACATGTTCACCCGTGGAGGTGTTATAACGTTACGATCAATCTCACCATTCTTTGATAAAAGAGTATCTCAATAATTGGCATTTCCTCTAGTCTAACACTGCTAAATTAGGGACGGCTAGCGCAGATAGCCCTCGAGTAGCTTTGAGCGAAATTCAAAACATATCAAAAATCACCTTCGGTCGAATTTAACACGAAAAAACAATATAGCTAGAAAGAGTAATTATCAGCTTTTCATGGTATGGAACTTGTTATTCAGTAGGAGAAAATATGTGTCTTGTTTCAGTATATGTAGGAAAAGCAGTAGGTATTGCCTTCTTCTGGGCTGTTACGTTTTCAAATTTCACTAAATAGTCAAAGACAAATAATAATAAAAGGATGAGAAAACTTTTTAATTTTATGGATTTAATTATTTCGTAGCTGGTTGATGTAAAACATGAGCGTACGTAAGGAGATAAATTGTATTTTATAATTATAAACGTTCTTGCGTTTGATGTATTTGTGTGTGTGTGAAAACTGGTTATATTATAAAACGTGTTCATATTTTTTGTGATAACCAAATTTAATTTTTAATACTTTTTTGATAATATATATAACCAAAACCTTTAAAATTCACCTGTGGATACGAATAAAAAAAAACACTGGATTATCAATCTTTTTTTTTTTCTCCTTTATTAATTAATTCAACCGGTTTCGTGGCTTCAAGGGTCACTCTCTTCAGGAAATAGTTTTACTGAGAATCTATAATAAAACCATAGAAATACCACTTTTAACTAAACATGAATAATCTAAATTAAATATATATACTTTCTAAATGTACAAACATATAATACAGTTCACGTATAAATTAAGTACATTACAAATCTTCAAAAAATAAACCGGTATAAGAAATTAATAAACAAAAGGGGAAAAAAAAGTCTGATATTCCAGTGTTTTCTTATATATATGATACAAATAAGATATAAACAAAAACAGCTGAATCTAATATATACGTCATAGTAACTAGTTTAATTAAAAGCGCGCACAGGAACATTTAAATTATCTTTACCATTACTTGAAATTTTATAGAAAAAAATTCATTTTAGTAAACTTTTTTTGCTCTACGTAGTCAAAACATTAATTATTTTACAACGTAGTTTTTATGTTGAAATGACTACTTGTTAAATTCCCAAATCTGTTAAGTTCACTACATATAATGAGCATACATCAAAGGTCAGAACGTCACGATACAATACGCGTGTTAGCTTATTGGAAAATCAATAATTGTCGGTTTATACACGTTAGTGAATAGTGAACATAATAGATCATTTAGTAAATTTTATTTCAAAATATAACACGTTATAATCTCTTTGCTTTCTTTCTGCCTACTGCACTTCCCATACTAAGATGCCACACACGGAGGCAACAATGGTAAGTTATATTTCCACACACGGAGGCAACAATGGTAAGCTATATTGTCATGTTCTGTGTGCATGATAGACAAATGTACTGTAGTTGAAAGTATCATGTTTTAAAAGAAATATTGAAATGTCATCTTTGGACATCAGATTTGTAAGTGAAAAACAAGCACCATCTACGTATGTGAAACCAGGCCATCTTTGGACATCAGATTTGTAAGTGAAAAACAAGCACCATCTACGAATGTGAAACCAGGCCCGTAATAAAGCATTTTGAAACATAACATTAATGGCTGAGAAAATACCCAGGAATTCTTGGCGCATGCTCAAAAATATCTCTATTAGCTTTAAAAATACGTAACGGAGAATTAAAATATCCGTCTTATCCAATATTTAGGGTCTGGATAATCGCGGTATGAGTAGAATAATAGTTCTGCTAGTATTATCTTGTACTCACTGTTTTATGATATGATCGTTCTATCTATGCGAACGTGATCTTTTTCTGGTTTTATACAATTATTGATATTGTATACTTCACATCGTACGGTCTAATAAAAATAGAAATGAAGATGAATAATAAAGGTCAGTTTGTTTGTTTGTAGTTAAGCACAAAGCTACACAATGGGCTACCTGTGCTGTGCC